CCTGGAATGCCCTCGGACATTGTACAAATGTCAACAACTGTTCAACATGCAAGCATTATGCGTACCAGCAACCAGCTGAACCACTGTCGATGAGAGCAGTGCCGCTTCGCCCATGGGTGCGCGTTAGTGTGGACTTGTTTCGGTATGGTTGACACACATACCTTGTTGCTTTTGATGCGTTCTCTAACTTTCCGGAAGTCGAGCAGCTCACGGACACCACGATGGATGCAGTGGTCCAAGTATTATCAGTAGTCTTCGCAAGGCATGAACTACCGAAGGAGGTGAGCACCGACAATGGGCCCCAGTTAAGTTCTAATGAATTTAAGAAGTTCGCATTCAGATATGACTTTCAGCATGTGACTTCAAGCCCACACTTCCCGCGCTCGAACGGGCTAGCAGAGAAAGGCGTACAGATCGTCAAAAGGATAATGAAAAAGTCCACTCATGCACTCGAAGACTACAAACAAGACCTTCTGGATTACAGGTCTGCACCGCTGGAAGACGGCCGATCTCCAAGTGGACCCTTAACGGGGAGAACAATCAGATCGCGACTACCCGACTTCACAGAACAGGCCCCAAAACCAGTGCACAAGCGTCAACAGAGCAGCGGTGGGGTAGACCACTTCAGCCATTACATTCGGGAAGAGTGGTCCGTCTCAGGAGAGAGAACTCCTGGCCAACGACAGCCAAAGTCCAAGAGTGGGTTGCGCCTAGATCATATCAGGTCATCACTAAGAGTGGCAGAGTGCTACGAATGAACAGAAGGCACCTCCTTCCTACCCCTGAGGACTTCAGCACAGAAGAGGAAAGGGATGATCCAGACCAGGAAGAGGTCCCTCTCTACACATCCTCATTCCCAAACGAACCTACTGGAATGGACCCAGCATCTCCACCTTCAGTGCGAGTGACTGCGCCGCCATTGAACTCTGCTAGAGGGACATTACAGCGCAGTCGGGCTCCTCCTCGGAAGCTGACATATGACGAAGATTTTCGGCAAAACCCGTGACATTTGTTTCAGCCTTACCCTAAGATAAGGGGGGTGTAACGGCAGAGCCTGCCAGTTAGTCTGGCAACCCCGGCCGCCAGCAACGAGGAGCACGTTGGGACGGGCCCAGAGGGGCGCCATTTTAAACACGTTCGTTAGATGGAATGCTGCTCGTCTGAGTCTCTCATCATTTGGCATTACACCGGCTACGAAGTGGCCCTGGAACGCGTCCGATCTGCGCACTATAACTAGACCGAAGTTTTTGCAATGTGTTCGAGATCAAATCAATGTCTTATGCTTGAGAAGTGATCGCTAACATTGACCGAATTATTTTAGACCTACGGTGGAAGAATAATGCGTAAAATATACGCGGATCGATAATTTTCCAGGCCTACCCGATAGATGGCGTCACCGGTTTTAATGCAGGCGATCATACTTGAACGTAAATGTGTGAACCAGTCTTGTGTGTTTGTAAAAGTTTCTTTTTTTTCTTTTCTTTTTTTTTTTTTTGGGGGGGGGGAATCGTTAAAAAAATGGGTATTTGCATATAGAACCAGAACGTGTAGGTGTCGTAAGTGACCGCAGAGAAATAAAAAAAAACTTGGGAATAAAATGTAACCACCAGGACACTCGCTTTTGCCTCCGTTGCACCAACATGTGACGAGAGACTTTAAATTTGACAGCCGCGAACTGGCGCATTAGTATTTTAGTTTTTATCAAAGCAGTAAATTAACTAAGTAAACGTTATTCAAGTTATCCTAAGGAGCTGCAATTTCACTAATTTGGAATATTTTACACAGTAAGATAAACTATACCTTAGTTAATTTTTTTAGTAACTGTAGTATCAAAATTTCTTTCCGATATTAATTACAGATATATGCACAAATCAAACTTGATTTAGTTTTAGTATTTAGCGCAACGTGCTGTCGCCGCCTCAAACTCTGCCACGAACGGAGTGCCAAATCAACTGGGAACTGCGCCAATATCTTGCGCACCGAAAACTGAGCCGTTGATTAGCAATCGCAGCATACGTCAGCGTCGTGCGATATTTTTGAGTAATTTGAACTTAAGAGACTACTAAAGGGGTCTTTGAAATCGCATCTTGATTTATGGCGCACACTCAGTTTACACGCACTAAGATTTTAGAAGACTAAAACTAAAATCACCGCCAGTTTTCTTTCTTAATAAAAACGCTACCAGACATTTCGACTCGTCCCTTCGTCTCACGTATGCACCTCAGAAAACAGGCATAACGCATTGCTTGGTTGAGCTTTTATTACCAAAGAATGTCGCCCGTGATTGTAGTTCGGGGTTTTTTTTAGTCCGCCGAGTGCGCGTAGATGTCTTATCCGCCGTAAAATGCGGTCTCAAAGCACCCTGGTTACTTTTTGTTCACAAATCTAACTTCACGCATAAGAATGTAACTGTATTTTTCACTGAATTACACTCCTCCTCACTGTGTGCCTAGGTTAACTATCTTTGAAGAGTGATTTGAATTGTACAACTACGTTCTGTACGTTCACTGCGCTATCGCGATAGGGATAAAACTAAATATATTGATGCACTGTCACCTTTGCGGTTTCTGTGCCCTAAAGTTTACCCCCCCCCCCCCCCCCCCCGCTTCGTCACGCTAGCGGTGAGCTTTTGATGACTGCTTAATTGCTTTGTAAAATACTTGCCCGTAATTAGCAGATTTCCGACTGTGGCTCTAGAAGTAATCAGATCTAGTTGTCAAAAGTTCGGGAAAATATGCAACTACTTACACACGGCTTATACACAGCACGACACTGTTAGAGCGAACAAGCAATTGACAATCTGTCTGTGTGTGTTTATGTTGTTGTTGTTTGCTTGTTCTTTTTAATCAAAGGACTATCATTAAATCTACCAGTGTGGTGAGAAGTACACCTTTCAGGGTGTAACCTAAAGCCGGGGTCAGGCAGCTAATGCATCATACAAAAGACAGTCTGCAGATGATGTATGAGGCGCGTTTCTTCCTTGTACGGACGGCCTTGTCACATTGGTGAGACAGAAACTATCTGCAGACATGTTCAAAGCACAAATTCGTATAAATCAAACCCGCTTAATTCGAATATGCTTGCGGCGTGTCGCCAAGAAAGCCCGCGTCATTCGAATATGCTTGCGGAGGGACCGCACGCAAACCCGCTTAATTCGAATATGCTTGCGGCGTGTCCCCAAGAAAGCCCGCGTTATTCGAATATGCTTGCGGAGTGACCGCACGCAAACCCGCTTAATTCGAGTATGCTTGCAGCGTGTCCCCAAGAAAGCCCGCGTTATTCGAATATGCTTGTGGAGTGACCGCACGCAAACCCGCTTAATTCGAATATGTTTGCGGCGTGTCGCCAAGAAAGCCCGCGTTATTCGAATATGCTTGCGGAGTGACCGCACGCAAACCCGCTTAATTCGAATATGTTTGCGGCGTGTCCCCAAGAAAGCCCGCGTTATTCGAATATGCTTGCGGAGTGACCGCACGCAAACCCGCTTAATTCGAATATGCTTGCGGCGTGTCCCCAAGAAAGCCCGCGTTATTCGAATATGCTTGCGGAGTGACCGCACGCAAACCCGCTTAATTCGAATATGTTTGCGGCGTGTCCCCAAGAAAGCCCGCGTTATTCGAATATGCTTGCGGAGTCACCGTACGCAAACCTGCTTAATTCGAATATGTTTGCGGCGTATCGCCAAGAAAGCCCGCGTTATTCGAATATGCTTGCGGAGTCACCGCACGCAAACCCGCTTAATTCGAATATGCTTGCGGCGTGTCGCCAAGAAAGCCCGCGTTATTCGAATATGCTTGCGGAGTGACCGCACGCAAACCCGCTTAATTCGAATATGTTTGCGGCGTGTACCCAAGAAAGCCCGCGTTATTCGAATATGCTTGCGGTGTGTCCGCACGCAAACCCGCTTAATTCGAAGATGTTTGCGGCGTGTCCACAATTAAACCCGCTTAATTCGAATATGATTACGGCGTGTCCGCAAGCAAACCCGCTTAATTCGAATATGTTAGCGGCGTGTCCGCACGCAAATCCGCTTAATTCGAATATGCTTGCAGCGTGTCCTCTCGCAAACCCGCTTAGTTCGAATATGCTTGCGGCGTGTCTGCAGGCAATTTTGTCATCATGCAAGCAGCGAAAATCGCGTCTTTTGTGTGTTCTATTAGCGGTGTGTCTGCGGCTTGGGTGGTTAAATTTGCTGTCCGCCAATATACTTTTCCTTGAAGTACAATGGAAAATGGTGACAATGTTACGTTCGCGCAGACAGTGCCGCCCAGTGCGCACAGGCTGTCGTGGTAATGTGGGTCCATGAAACACATAAACGAAAAAGAAAAAAAGTGAAAGCCGTTTACAACTTCCTGTAACGCCGAATTGGAGCGCAGCTCTTGAGGAGGAGGAGTGGAGGGTATATTCCTCCTCCTCCCTCGTGATCATGCCTGCTAGTCCTCCTCCCCTCCTGCTCCCCCTCCCTCTCCTTTACCACCTCCTCGTCCTTCAAGCTCCTCCCCTCCCCTCGCCTCCGCCTCCTCGTCTCTCCTCCCCCCTCCTCCACCTTCGTACTGCTTTCCTCCTTGCCGCTCAAGCCGGAAAGGGTCGCGTAAGGGCTGTGCTCTGAAATATAGAGTCAGGAGGAGGAGCGGAGGGGGAGGAGGAGGAGGGGGAGGGGCGACGCCGACGCCGACGTCAACGCCGACGCCGACGCCGCACAGGCTGGAAACGGGTCATGTGACCCGTTTCCAGCCCGTTTCCAGCATGTGACCCGCCCGGACCATACTACACAATGAGGGGAGGAGGAGAAGGAGGGGGAGGAGGAGGAGAGGGAGGAGGAGGAGGGGGAGGAGGAGGAGAGGGAGGGGCGCGGTTACGCCGACGGCGACGGCGACGCCAACGGCGACGCCGACGCCGCTCAGGCTGGAAACGGGCCCCTAAGAGCTGCGCTCTAAAAAACGGAAAAACCGTACCAGCGGTATGCCGTAAAGGTGCATAACCGGCTGGGATCAACGTACCGTGAAGTTGAAAGGAGGAATGGTCGCGAATGGAAAAAGAATGGGCTCCGACGTGATCAGTGCCGGAATTCTGGTGTGGAGCACCGCGTCCATGAAGTTGTTGGCGTCGGTGACCGTGGCCACAGCGGAGGCTGGAAGCAGGCAAGAGGAGCAACGATTAGCCGCTACCCGTCGACATATGGGCTTAGTGTAAACAATTTAGGTGCTCTTAATCTGGCTCAACATATGTTCCAGTTTAGATAACGTTCCACATATTTTCTTTTCTGGAACTAGTTAGCTTACTATGTGGATTGGGGATCATGAGTGCAATAGTTCACTTCGCTACATTTTATTTATTTTATTTCGAACTTATCGTGCTACGTTCTACGTGGACTGTCGTTCCACTCACCCAGTTTCACTTAAAATCTACTCCGGTTAATGCCTCCAGAATGTGGTTGTTGGGTTACATTTATCGTTTACAATTATCCCTTATTTGGAACACTGATCTGTATAAACTACGAAGCCTCTGCAATTATCTGAAACATTGCTTTGTTTAATCTACAAGGTGTATAGAACACGGTTTCTCCTGATTAAGCGGAAGTTATTTCGCAAAAATGTTTCGGTTATAACCAGAACCTAAGTGTGACGAGCTTAGGGGTGTAAAAAACGTACACCCTCAATGCAAGTCATATACATTTGCACCTTCCTCGTGTTCTATGGAGGGTGTCTTTTTTTTAGATTTTTTTTTTCTGAAGACAAATATTTAGGTTTTACTCTGTTTTTCGTACTAGGACGATCAGTGGATTAATTACCTGAATTTGTGTTATTCATTTGTGCTATTCATAAATGATTTCGTGGGTCATGTTTCAATTGAGATTTGAATGTCAGTCGTTAACTAAAAAAATGTGAATTTCTACAATTCACGAAGAAGGCAACGGACTTTGAGATATTTAAAGATCATTCTTTTTTTTATTTTCAGGAGTCGACACCAACTCCGGAGGCAGAAATAATATTTAGAAGAGTTACAGTGACCGCAGATGTAACGTCAGTGCAAACCATGTAGTATAGCTCAAAACTGACCTTACGACCTAATTTGTATGACAGGCAGCAGAACTTGTCAAACACAATCAGAAGCCGAGATTGAAAAGACCACATCTGCGTGCCGACTGCAGTTGCGTTGGTGGGAAGGGCAGCTTCTCTTTCTGCGACTGCTTTATTAACCCCGTATGTGAGTTTAACAAAAGGAAGGACACTTCAATATAGGCCCCTTTTTTTCGAAACCCCATCAAGCAACATTGGCGGTCACCTTTCTTAAGTGACCGCTAGGTGGCGCAAGCTACCGCCCGTTACAAAGGCTGTAGAAATTAACATCCATTTATCCATCCATGAGCACAAAGCGCCCGATCGATCCGAGTTTTCGCCGAACGTACTTGTACTCGACACGAGCTAAGCCGAGTTCACGCCGAACGCTGTCGCCACCGTCGTATTCAATGCTCGCCTTGAGTGCTTGCCCAAACAATGGTTTACTTGGATAATTGGCGCAGCATCTACTAGGTGGCGCGCGCTTCTGGAAAGGGTCTATACGGCGTGCAAGTTCGTCTGCTTCTAGGGCAGGGGTTGCAGTGACGTCAGAAAGAGGCCGAGCTCTTATTGGCTTTGATCGGAAGCATGGTGGCTAGACCTCAATGTAGTAGCTGCCTCGAGGCCTACCCGCTATTCTTCCAAACGGAGCCAATCATAGCTCGACGTTCCGACGTCAGTGCGACCCCTGCGCAAGAAGCAGCCGAACTTGGCGTCCGCACAGCGTTGCAAGGTTGCTGAACTTGCAGGGGCACTGCGGATCTACAATATATGTCTCTATACACCGTTTCACGTACGTTGAACCGCGGCAAACGCTAAGACACGACAAAACCAATCAGCATCGCAAAAAAATTGCGTCGATACGGCGCTGGTCGCGTTTGTGGCTTTGCCATGGCCGGCTAAACAAATCGCGACACAGAAGCAAGCACGGAATCGCGGCGTAGTCACAGTGCGCGATTAGTTCAGTTGCCGATAGTAAACGCACTAACACGATCAGCGCCATGACGATGCACCTTTGTCGCTGCCAGAGTGGCTCCATTGGGTTGTATGGCATCGGCTGCTTTCAAGCCTAAAAGCGATTTTTTTTTTTTTTTTACCTAGCCCAACTAATTATATTTTGTTAATCCCCCCGGCCTTTACCCTTTAAAGTGTGGTATCTGGTATCTTGGTATCTCGAAATGTACCCTTTCACAATTCAATGCCATCTGGTGGCTCAAAAAGCAGTTTAACTTTCGACAAACTAATGGCGGAAAGTGCATTTCATCGTCGGGCACCGTCACTTTCGCACGTCAATGGCAGCACTAAACTTCGTTCTTTGATCACCTGATATTTCTTTCTTGATTTCTTTCATCTTTAATGGTCTGAACACAAGCACTTACCAGTACAAAGCAGCAACCCTTAAGCACCTTAATTAAATTTCTGCCATCAAAAGTCTTTAGAGCCAAACTTGTGCCAAGAAGTTGATTGGACCACACTCCGAAATAAACGTGTACACTGCCGCTGCATCTAATTCGTGCACTCTGTTGTACTGATGGTTCGAACGGACAAACCCCATTCATTGTCCGCTTGGTAGTATCCTCAAAATTTTCTTTCATCAGCCTCAAGAAGGCCGCCATTAGTACGGCACAGATGCCATACACTGAGATGATGATAGTGATCAAAGTAGCCAGACTGAATTTCAAAATGGGTCTATTCAGAAGAGTTTCTGTGTAATCGACAAATGAAAAGGATGTCAAGATCAACATTCAAATATACTCGAGCTTTTCAGTGCCGTAACGTCAGTGGCGGGCAAGCTTGCAGGTCGAGCGGGCAGTCTATAAAATTTACTATGCCGAACATTTGTTTCCTGATGCTGCGCGGGTGCTCAAGCGAGCTTTCAAAACATTCGTTCGACACCACGAAAGTATACTTGCAATCAGTTGGGAACAAATTCTACAGTCCCCTGCCAGCCGCTCGTGTCACTTGTTCATTGTTGTCAGAAGAAACTTTCGGTTCGAAAAATACGATGAGGATCAAAATTGTAAATTCGATAACTTTGAAAACAAAAATTAGTTCGGACTAATTTTTTCGGAGTACTATTTCAGCGGTGTTTGTTGTATGGTTCAGCCAAGTTTGAGGCAAATCGGGTTTCATGAAGAAAACTCCCGAGTACACCTTTACAGTGAAACGAACTATAGATATACCACAATCACAGACGAGTAAATGCGGACTTACCATAGGCCGCTAGAGACAGCGTGAGAAGGCTTACAGTCAGCATTTTGGGGGCAGGTACCTAGAAGAAAAAAAAAAGTTAACGCCAATCGCCAGCAACTACTATTCACATATCGATAACTATACTTTGACTGCAGCCAAAGCTACGAGCGCGATCTAGTGCGCGCTCCTTTGATACGTGCATTTCTAGCGCGAGTGCTCGTTCTGCGGAAGAAACCCTTCAAAGCAGCCACCTCGAGCTCTCGTGCCTTTAATGTTTGTCATATTGGTCCAGCCATATCTCGTAAATATGGACCCCAATTACTATGGACATCCCTCCGTACTATAGTATAGACGCTTTACACACGCGCCAGAATACAGCCGCCATTGCTGACCTTCTCTTGTTTTACCGAGATACCGAGCCACTGAAATTGGTGTGGACAAACCTCCACAAAGGCCAATGCCGGGGAGCAAGACAGAATAAAATCTAAGATATCAATAATCTGGCGTGCTACGGTAGTAATGAAGTGAAGTAAACGTAATAAGGGGGAACAAAAACTGAAGGTCAGTTATGGCGGCGCCCATTCACAGCTGCTGCAAAGCGTCTATAGATACAGTAAATAGTCGTGCTCGAACTGGGTAAATATATACATTTTTGTATCGTTAATGTGGACGACTCGAATTAGGAACGATTCTGTAGAGCAACGGGAGCGTCCATACAAGACATTACTGGTACAATGTTACCACGGAAATATTATAAGCATGAGAATAGCTTAAAAAGAGAGGGCCGTACCCATAATAAAACGTGTTTTGCCGTCTTTGTTTGTTTTGTTTGTTTGTTTTTTGTTTTTTTTGTGTGTGTGCTTTCGTACAAACAATAATCCTTCAATTGATGTGGTAAAACTCGTCAATTTAACTGGCATACACCATAAAACGGAACCCCAGCGGGAGACTTGTTTATGCCTTCAAGGAGTGGCTGCGCGGAACACGCGATTTCGGTAACAGCGTGAACTGCTTTGATCTAATTACATTAGTGTGATTTTTATGCTGTGTACGACTTTTAACTTTGCCAATACCACTTTGAACTTCTGTTGTATGGCCCAACGAGGGTTGAAAGTACTGTCATTCCTGGTAAGGGCTCAAGAACTATATATATTCTTTCGCATGCAGTACTCCTTTAATATTGGTGGAATAATCATCCCAACAACTATAAACACGGGGTTAGACAACGCGACAATCATAAAAGCTACATGATAGTTTTATTGTGTTACGTCCTGCATACTGATTCCTTATAACTTAATGGATTTTGTGGTATTCGATATTTACCGAAAATCGTTAATAATCGTACCTCTAATAACTTTCGGTGAAGCGGTGGAAAGGACAATAAATGCCAAAACCTTTATTCATAATTCTGAATTTAGGATCATTTCACTATTTAGACTTGACGGGAATATTAGGAACCTGTTAGTATAAAACCCCTTTCTTGATACTCAAAAAAAAACGAATATATATTTGTTATACTATTCAAACTGTTATACTATTCAATACTATTCAAAAAACGCAGAAAAACGCTCAGTCTGGCTGATGAAAATAAACTACATTTTATTTACGTCCAGTCATAGAAGAACTCAATCACCGTGAATTCAGAAGCCTTACACTATATAAAACTGCTCATTTATTTGATTTTACCCTTTCACGCACTCTCAAGCTCTACGCAAGGCCGAGAAAATCAGTGTGATGCGTTCGAAGATTGGGAGCAAACTTATAGCGCCCACATTATTCAAAACAAAAAAACAAAACACTTTTTTGAGTACAACTTTTTTTTTTGCCTAAATTTTAAAAAAAAAGGTATATTTTTACCTTGTTTTTCTTTCCTTATATAATATCGCAAAACCGTATAGCCGCACGTGCGTCTGACGAATTTCGTTCGCAGTTCCGGGACCGGTTTTTTCCTTGTGTGTGTGGTTTTCTTTGTATTGTAAGTTCTCGGGATTGCTACATTCTTTGCCTGAGGTGTGACCACCGCCAAGTGAATATCGATGCCTCAGAATCAAAACTTACGAAATTCACTACAAGAAAAGTCCATCGTAACATTCAACTTTACAATAAGCTACCTATTAATTGAGAAAGTAAAGAATTACTAAATACGTATGAGTTATTTTGAACGACAAACTACAATGGCAGGATGATGTAAATTATGTGGCAGGAAAGGCGAGTATTGGGCTTTATGAGAAGAAATTTATATATCGCTCATCCAGACGTTCGTTTACTAGCTTACAAGTCATATATTTGGTCCTAGCTGGAATATGCGTCTATCATATGGAATCCTTCACAAGGCTATTTAATTCAAGAAATTTGATCAATCCAAAACAAGGCCCTTATATTTATATTTTAAAGATCATTCTGAATACACGAGCATAACCCAGCTGAAAAATGAAGCCGACTTACCACTCCTCTCTACCAGAAGAAAAATTTCGCGACTAACCTTTTTCCATAACCACTATAATAATAATCCATTACTGAGGCTTGAACTTGTCAAGCCGCCACATCGTATTTTTCCTAGATTAGTTATCAACATAAAATACTACTACAGGCACCTCGCACCAAACTCTTCCAGAGATCTTCGTTACAGTTGACAATAAACCATTGGAACAAACTATCTACCCCTATTAAAGTTCTTAATAACTTTGACGAATTGAAGAATGGGTGCACTTTGAACTTTGTGAATTGATGTATATGGGTTGTGTGCCACGGTTACCGTTATTTTTATTTGTGTGCTTTTCCATAGTGTGTTTTACACGTATGTTTATGTGCTACTACATGTTTTGGTTATTTTGGTACTCTACACGTGTTCTGTACGCATGTTTTTGTTTTTGTTTTTACATTGCCATAACGTTGTTGTTGTTTTTTGTGTTGTTTACGCGCTTTCACGTTTTTGCTTACGTTAAAGCTGTTAAATTTTCACCCTCATGTATGCCCTAGTAGGGGGCTTGGGATGCACGAATAAATCAAATCGAGAAGCTCCCCTTGTCGCCGACGGTCGTATAATTTCATCGACGCATCAGTTTCGGATTCAAAATCGCACTTGAGACACAGGCTCGGCGAAACTGCAGGTCTCACCTGCTCCTACTAAATATTCGAATTCGGGAACACACGTATTTATCAAGTATTTATAATATGATATTTATTTATTTTTATATTTATTATTTTTACATTTAAACTATAGACACACATTATAATTAGTCTGTATGGGTTTGGAGACCGTGAAAAGAATCACACGAACCCGCGCTAAAACACAAATATATTCCGAAATCCGGGGGAAGTCACATCTCAAAGAGTTTTATTCCGGCTTAAGATAAAAAAAAAAATAGCAAAAACAGATATGTTTCGCCACCTATACGGGCTGCGTCTTTACTACACACTGACCACGTTGAAGTGGCCCGCTTCGCCGTGGCCAGTGTACACTGAAGACGCCACCCGTATACGTGGCGAAACGTCCGTATGTTTTTGTTACTTGTTTTGTTATGTTAAGCTGGAGTAAACTCTTTGAAATACGCACTAAAACGCCGTATTGTTGGTGACAAAAACTGCAGCGACAAAAACTGCAGCTCGCCGGAACGTCCAACCCCAAACCATTTCTGGGGCAATCATTAATCGATTGACTCATTCATTAGCACTTAAGTGCACCAACACGGGAATTGCATGAGGTAAAGGGATAAAAAAATTTACATGTGGCACACACAAAAAAAAGCTAAACATTTAAAAAACAATATTCTAGATGTCGGCCAGGCGGATTTGAACGCGAGGGAACTTAACTGATTACATAACGGTATAAATATAAACTTTGCTAAGAAAATCGGGAATCACTGATGCACGCTATGAAATTCGGAAAATTATTAGATTTTTCTGCATGAATGGGTTCCTTGTTTTTGGTATAAATATATCGATAAACCCCGAAAACTAACCCCCCATCCCCGGTTTCATCAAATCGAGAAAAACCGGAAACTCTCAAATTAGAGTTGTCCTTGTATTAAAAAAAAAAAAAAAAAAAAAAAAAACTTAAGCTTAACGAAAAGGAATTTTTATCTTCATGTTTATTTTCTGCTGACCTCCCAGAATACAGTCAACACTCAACAGTCCTTAATTAATGTATATCTTTGAGAACCACACCCTTGGTCTCGTTACGTTCTCTTACAAAAACCGAATATTTTTTTTTTAATACTCAAGTTACGCGCATGTCTTCTTGATGCTGGGAAATCTCACACTTGTGCTCTGTATTTTTTTACAAAAATTCCCATAACCGAATTGAAAAGAAAAACATTTCGTATATGATTTGTGCAACAAACCTGTCTTAACTTTTTTTACGTCATATAATGTAATTTTAAGTTCTGTAAGTTATAATAGAAGGAATTATATAAGACGTACATGACCTTGTTTGTTCTCATGCTTAATGGACAAATTCTTTTTTTTTCACTGGGGTTAAATGTTAATTTCTTTTCTGACACCGGACATTTGTACCGCAAAACACCGAATCCTTAAGAAAAACTACCCCCCCCCCCCCCCCCGCCATAGACACACACAAAACATATTCGAATTTAAATAACAATAAACCCCAGAAAACACGACAGTCTATTCATGAAGCAGTTCCGACCAATTCAGGACTCAGCACTTACCAAGTTGGTCGTCCCGCGCAAGCCGTCCAACTGAGCGGGCCTGCGATGCGATCAAGGCGGCGGCGATCCAAGAGGCTCCTTCTCTCTCTCAAGCACGTGATCACGTGCAACTTACGTGACTAACGCCTACCCGCGACCAGCGATAAGAAAAATGGAAAAATGAAAAAACCCGTTCTCCGCGGCTTCCGAATGAAATTGCTTGCGCAAGTGTATTCTTGGCCGAGAGCGGAATAGGAATCCCGATCCGGCTGCTCGAGTCAACCTTCGTCCGAACGAAGAAAAAAACAAAGATGGTGTAGATTTGTGTCAAAGCTCAACGAAAGCCGAGACCCTGGCACCGTTTGAAAGGCGCAGTATATATATATATATATATATGCCTTTACGCTATCGGTTCTTTGCCGTGACCCGCGATTCCATATCACAGTGGAGGAGACGCTGCACATAGCTCTACACAGTTGCACTGCCGTGCTTTAGGTTGGTGGACGGTGTTCACGTGAAACTTCGACGTCACGTGACATCATTAAATCTATATAGTCAATATATTAATCTGGTTAGGAAATGTCACGTGCGGGGACATCGGTGGCACCAGTTGGCAGTCACGATGATGCCCGTGTACCACTGGCGACGTCTTAATGTGCAGAAAGCAGCAGCGAAACATCGCCTGTAAAGTTTGCTTGTTTTTGCACTGTTTATAATTTTTTTTTATCTAGCCTACTTTGCACGAAAAGAAGAACAAGAAAACACCAAAATTGCGCCTTGAATAAAAATAAAGTTGGCAAGCACTCGAGCAGCTTTAACTCGTCCCGGCTAGTGCCACTAAATATGCTACGCTTTAGAGTATCGACACTTGGCCATTTTGTGTCTTAAAATCATGGTTGCCAGTTATCTGAAGCTTTATCTGAAATCACAGGAAACGCTTTTCCGCCCTCCACAAATGTTTAAACACTTCGCGTAAGAGCAAAACAATATTACGTGACCTTCCTAACACCGCATCTAATGCTGAGGAAGTCGCACTTTTGAATCATGACGATCGGGAGTTGCGTCTGCTCTGCATACGAGCCAAAATGGCGGCGCCCACAACAATGTCGGGGAACGGAGTGCCGATACTCTAAGCGCAGCTCATTTACCGCTCATTCACACTGGAAGCGGATCCGCGTTCGCAAAGCGGTAGCGAACGCGGTTGTATAAAGATCCAGTGCAATTGCACGCGCACTTGATGTCATCGAGTGCGCGTGCAATTGCACTGGATCTTCATACAACCGCGTTCGCAACCGCTTTGCGAACGCGGACCCGCTTCCAGTGTGAATGAGCGGTTAGTGGCTCTAGTACCGGCAAAGCGGACACGCGAAACCTTTCGTCTGCTTTCTTTATCTGCTTTTCTCTCGCTTTTTTTCTCGTTCTTTCTCTCGGGGCCTCCGATGTCAGGGCTCAGGATTTCCCGCGTTCTGCTACCGTCTTTACACCCCTGATAAAATCACCTAACACCGCGAGGTCACGTGGGACCATTCCGTCACCTTAGACTAAATTCCCGCTAAATTTAGTGGAAAAAATCTTCCACCAAAGTTAGGCGCGAAACTCGTGACGTCATGTGACATGACGTCACAAGACACTGTTTCAAGTTTATTTGTTCCTCTTCGTACAAAAAGAGCGTCGCAATGTCGCAACACTGTGATTCCCCGCTAAATTTAGCGGAGAAATGTTCGCACTAAACTTAGCAGAGCACGACGAGCACGACATACGGGACCCCTCAACGAAAGTCGGCAAGATCGCGGACCCCCGCGATCGACCAGCGCCTTGTGGCTATTGGCCAGCACCAAGGTCAAGCAGCGGCGCTTAGCCAATCGCGGCGCTCGGCGATCTCGCCGACTTTCTCGCGGAGTGTCCAACTCAGAGCCCCAGGGCCGGTTTGCTCATCTTGAGGCCGCGGCTGCGGCTAAGAGGGATTTTTATGTCACGTGACGAGCTCCATGGAGACAAGGAAGTGCCTAGCGTCCCTGCCTAATGGCAGAGAAGTCCGTGCCGCTTCGAGTACAAAAGTCTAATTTCGCTCGCAGAAACTGACTGCAAAGGCTTTCAACTGAACTCCAATTAACCGCCCCATCATACTTTAGGAGCGGCAGGTAAAGTTACGGCCAGGGAAGGTAAATATAAGCCAAAATAAAGGAAAAATCACGCAAAGCGAAAGCGGTGGCTGTGTATTTATATAAATGTGCCAGGCGATGTTGAGAGCATCGTATAAGGCATTCGACCGTGTTAGCCATGATGTACTCTTTGATGTTTTGAGTCATGTCAATGTTGGTGACGCCATCCTAGAAGGTGTAAAGATGGCCTATAAGGACTGTACAACAAGGCTTATAGTGAACAAAGAGCTCAGTTCTGTTATTAACGTACGAGAGTCGGTACGACAAGGTTGCCCTATGTCTCCCCTTTTGTTTAATTTGTATTTAGAGTTTTTTTGTTTAAGCGTAAAAAATAGTCAACGTGTCCGAGGTTTACAATTTAATAATGCAGAAGAAAAAGTCATGAGTTACGCCGATGACATCGCTGTTTTTTGTACGGACAAAGAAAGCGTCACCGAAGTCATAACCTTGACTAAAAGGTTTTGCCACGCTACTGGTGCTGTTAGAAACTGGGAGAAGTGCCGTGGTTTCTGGCATGGCGCTTGGGCCACTACACCCTCAGAATTTGAGGGTGTATGCTGGGACACAGTGCCGTGCCAGTACCTCGGGGTGCCATTGCAAAGTTTCCGGAATAGACGAAAGTACTGGTCGGGTGTCGCTACCGACCTGGACAGGCGTGTTTCTCGTTGGAAGCAACGCGAGCTGTCCATTTTTGCCCGAGCGACTGTTTGTAACTTTTTTCTTATTGCAAAGCTTTGTATGTTCTTCAGGTCATCCATTGTGCGCGAACCGATGTTCAAAAATTTCATCGAATTTTTGACACGTTTATTTGGAGTTCGAAGTATGAGCCCGTGAGACGAGACAATCTTTTTCATCGAGTTTGTTACGGTGGCGTGGGGCTTTCCCACCTTTTTGTCAAGCAGCTTGTGTCACGCTTCTTTTTTTTTTCTTTTTGAGAGAGAGACCAAGAGCACCCGTTCATTCGCACACTGATTCAGACTACAGCAGACGCTGCTCGCGCCGGCGCTGGCACTGGTATATAAATACACAACCACCGCTTTCGTTTCGCGTGATTTTTCCTTTATTTTGGCTTATGTTTACCTTCCCTGGCCGTAACTTTACCTGCCGCTCCTAACGTATGATGGGGCGGTCAATTGGACTTCAGTTGAAAGCCTCTGCAGTCAGTTTCTGCGAGCGAAATTAGACGTTTGTACTCGAAGCGGCACGGAATCCTCTGCCATTAGGCAGGGACGCTAGGCACTTCCTTGTCCCCATGGAGCTCGTCCCGTGACATAAAAATCCCTCTTGGCCGCAGCCGCAGCCGCGGCCGCAAGATGAGCAAACCGGCCCAGGGGGCGCACCTTAACGAAACCGAAGGCTGCAGCTTACCAACTAAAAGATCATATTGCCGTCTTGGGTCTTGTATGGCCTCATCTTCCTGAGTCACCAAACGCACTATCTTTTCTTTTTTTTCTTTTCTGACATAGCAAGAAAGCGTTTGGATACTCAAATTTGCAGACATGCCGTCTTTGTGGGTGCTTGATAATGATCGAGCGGAAATAAAAGGTGAGTAAGTTGCGGAATAGAAACTAGGGTTCAGAGCGGATTTCTTTTTACCGAAACGTCGGCTGCTATTTCAGACTAAGTTAATAAATAGGCGACCTGGTAAAGGTTACATATAGTTCAATAGGAGACGCGTGTGCTTGCACTTTTTTGTCGTCCGTTCGTCTCTGGTATAAATTATGTATGTAAGTTCTTTTGTGTGTTTTTTTTTTCAAGTTCTTACCAAATTTGACTAAACTCGTTTTCTTTTCCTTGGCAATTCTAAGGTCTATTTCACTCATATACCTGTAAGCAATGCTTATTATTTATTTATCCAGTCCACCTGTGAATCAGTTGTACTTTGTCATCAGTCGAAAGACTTGTACCTCTAAGTCCCTCGTCTTTTGTTGGCTATGAAAGAGTTGTATGCCTTCTTTGTTTGATGTGCTTTGTTTTCAGTGGAACGATACCTGTCAGCGCCTTGTAATTTGTAGTCGGTTGAAAGAGTTGTACATGTCAACCAGTTATGTTCGACAATTGTACATTGTGGTCACTTGACAGTTTTATACAGTAGGCCATTGTTCTCTGTTGGAAGTTGAAAGTGTTAGTTCATATCAGTTTCTCGTTCTTCCTTGACAGTTGATAATCGTACTTGCCAGCTTCTTGTCTCTATTGTGAATTGAAAGAGTCTTACCTGTTAGTCCCCAGTTCTTTTTTGTTGCCTGTAGAAAATTCATACCTGGCAATCTTTTTTTTTTTTTTTTAATTTGTATGTGAGAATGTTGTGATTTGTATCCCTTTGTTAACGATTGAAAAAAAAAAAAGAATTAACCACTTCGCCCCAGACATTCTTGTATTATTTTTCCAGGTTTTTTTCTTACTTTTTTTTTTTTTCACTGCAGATATAATTTACGTTTACCAAACGCTCCACCCAAATGTAGCACCAGCAGGTTCGGACAAGATGCCAAAGTTTCAGAACTTGGAGGTACCTGGTTTTAAGTGTCATAAAATATTTTAGAATATTTCAAACGAGAAAATAGGGTCTGTTAAACCGGAAAACGACGCCATTCCTCTCAATGTATTCGTCGGCTTGTACGCCTGCCACAGATCCTTTTCAAGAGTGCGCGCCATTGCATGTCCGCCATTGCTTGATCACGCGCTCTGAACATGTATTGGACACGAATGCTGGGTCAACGTTCGGCTAGGTCTCGGATTCAATCACACGCCTCGTGCCCAATGGATGGATGGATGGATGTTAATTGCTATACCCCTTGTAACGGACGGTACCTTGCGCCACATAGCTTAAGCCTAAATAAATGGCGACCGCCACTGTTGCTCGGCGGACTCTTGAAAAGAGTCTATTACAACGGAAATTTCCGAAAATCGCCTAAGACTTTTCGAGGCTGGTTCACCAATTTGCGACGGTGGCGTTCACTACAACCAAACCGACAGAGGCGACCGAAACACACACTGGAATAACCGTGACTCATGATCGCTTTACGAATCCATAGCTTCTGCATTGGGTGCCACGTTGTGTACGATCAACACTTGCCCCGTAACTTTGTCGTTGGTGTCTTTTGTTTTTATTACTGCAAACGTAGCAGTGACAAACGTGTTAACCAGCCTTTATTCAGATAACGGTACGTTCTGAAGCTTACCCTTTCCGTACCGCTTTCTCTGTTAGGCGCCTGCACAGGCACCTAACAAAGAAAGAGGCACAAAAACGTACTTTCTTTGTACTTTTTTTTCTTCAGAAGTCATCTGACTCTGTGTGTTCGGGACCTTCGATGACACCCATCTTCTCATCGAAAGGTTCCAGAAAAATGTTTCTGGTTTTTTAACAATCAAATAAATCTTTGTCGCCTTATCCCAACCACGCTAACGCAGCATTATATTCGGGCGGAGTTCTTCAAGTGATAACTATGAACTACATGCGATAGCTATGAAGGAAAAGATATGAAGCCCGTTCTCCGTCGACACTCCGTCAAGATATTTCTCATTGATGTCATCAG